ACGATGACAAGTGAACAGTGATGATGAAAAAGAAGTGAACAGCGATGACGATGACAAGTGAACAGTGATGATGAAAAAGAAGTGAACAGCGATGACGATGACAAGCGAACAGCGACGATGAAAAAGAAGTGAACAGCGATGACGATGACAAGCGAACAGCGACGACGAAAAAGAAGCAACTAGTGATGACAACGTCAAGGAAACAGAGATGACGATGACAAGTGAACAGCGACGATGACAAGCGAACAGTGATGACAAAAAAGAAAGAAACAGTGATGACGATGACAAGTAAACAGTTGACGATGACTGCACACTATAAAACCACGGCACTTGGTGACACTTCCCAATACTAAGATGGAAACAGGCTAGAGTCAAACTTCGTTACAACCTACCTCCTGGGACCTTAAAGTTGCTTAACCTCACAGCTAAATGCATATATATATACCTACTGTGAGCTCGTCTATGTTGCAAAAATTCACTAGAACTCATTTGTATTGCTACTTTCATAACATATCTTCTCAAAATCTAAACGAAATTACTTCTCTTATGAAAGTAGCACCACAGTGATGTTTACACATCCGGGACACAGCGGAGCGATCGTTAACAGTTCTTTTCTATGATGAAGAATAATACAAGTTATAATTCATTATTATATGTTTATTCAGTACAAAATTGTGAAATTTGTTTAAATTATATATCGTTATCGACATTATATATGCAATCAGGAAACAAATATAGTGTTTTCGTTCCAGGAACTATTTGCGCTATGGCATATGGATAATATTTTGCGTTATCTGGCACTTCGTACAAATAACTTGCGTCTGACGTAAGTTTTCAAAATAGTCAACTTTGAAGCACATTTCTGGCTCAATGAGAACATTTCGTGATGTTTGCACACTGCAAGTATGCTCACACTCACAGTAGGTCTTTATAGGCCTTTTGTTGCGAGGTCTATCAATTTTATAAATCAGTACGTTATCACGATAGTTCGTTGTAACCAATTCCCATAAAATGAACATCGTCGATTTCGCCAAAGCATAATATTGATTTAGTTTCGTTTGGGAAACACCTTTACGATAATTAGACACAATTTCTGCCTTCTGAGACAGCGAAAGTGCTGCGCGCGCTGCAAGGTTTCCCGCTGTACGTTGTAACGAAGGCTAGTATGCATTTTTCCAGTGAAAATTTGAACGTTGTATTAAAGTTTACGTTATAAAGGTGTACGTTGTAAACGATACTGGCAAATGGAATAATGCAGTACACAAATTCGGGACTTGGAGATGTGTGCGTTGTAGCAGTGTAAACGTTAATATAAACAGGGTGCGTATTAACGAAGTTCGAAAAACGACTGTACAATAAATTCAATCTGCAATGAATAAATTCCAAATACAAGNAAGGACTTTTCAAGGACTGTGCGAACCATGTTTTATAACAATGTTTCTATCTAGGGGGGCACCACTCTCACCTGTTCTTGTCATTCGGACCGCCATGCTGATTGTTTTCGGCGTTGAAGTGCGGGCCCGCGCTGGTGCAGCCTGTAAACATGGAAACGACCACCGCCCGCAATCAATCGGCGAATTAACTGAATCACGTGCGTGCGCGTCGACGTTTACGTCAATAACCCGCGCGTAGGTACTGATTAGCACTTAATGAGGTTTCACACCTTGCAGATGGGGCACGCGAGTGTCGATCGAGGCAGCCATCTCAATCTCCGGACGCGAGTCTATGCAATGGTGCGTGTCGTCAATGATGAGGACAGATCAGAGATGTCACAGCGTACTGTATCCGTAATGGATTCTCTCTCGCTCTCGCTCTCGCTCTCTCTCTCTNTCTCTCTCTCTCTCTCTCTCTCTCTCTCTCTCTCTATCTATTTTTCTCTCTCTCCTCACTCTCCCTCTCTCTGTCTCTCTCGTTCGTGTTGTCTCCAAATTCGTGCACGTGAAATCCGTGGAGCCCCGCGCCGAGTCCGGTAATCTGACCGGTGACGCGCACCTCGGCACCCTGACGACAAACAAGCGAACAGTGATGACTACAAATAAGCGAACAGCGATGACGATGACAAGCGAACAGCGATGACGATGACAAGCGAACAGCGATGATGAAAAAGAAGTGAACAGCAACGACAACGACAAGCGAACAGCAATGACGATGACAAGTGAACAGCGATGATGAAAAAGAAGTGAACAGCAAC